CACCAGAGGCAGGATGCCAGGCCTCCCATCCTGCGGGCTCGGCCCACCCCAGACCTGGACCCAGTGCTGTTTCTAGATCCCGCCAGGCCCTTTTGCCTCTCCCCACCCCCAGTCCCCTACCTCATGCCAACCGTGGGCTGGGGTGAGCCACCTTCTTCTAGCTCCCCCACCCACATTCCACTCCCCCAACCCAGCACCTTCTGCAGCCTCGTCTTCCTGCCCCTTCCTGGGCCCAGGGTTGGGGAGCCTTCCCTGCCCTCCACTCAGCCCCGGAGCTGATCCAGCTGCCTCTCCATCTTCCAGCCAGGCTGGTCAGACCCTGTCCCCACTTCAGACCCCGCAGGAGATGCATCCTGCCCACTCCCCCAGCACCTTCCAATCCTCATGACTGAAGGGACCACCCAGCTCCCAGGCCTTATGCCACAGCTTCCCAACGTCTGGCCCTTCGCAGCTTTAAGGCCTGACTTCACTCCCTTTCCTGTGTAAGGTGTCACTATGTCAGGCCCTCAGAACCTCACAGGGTGAGCCCAGAATCTCCCAATTCCCAGGCAATTGCTCGGATGCCCCATCTGTGGCAGGCTGCTTCATCTGGAAAGGTCACTTTCTATCCCAGACAAGTACCCATCCCCACCAAGCTTATAGACCTGGAAGTGACCCCAGGCCTCACTCTGTGGATGTACCAACTCCAAGGCCCGGGCACCCACTATAGAATCAGAGTGGCTAAGGATGTGGCAAGGCTAAAGCCAGAGGCACCTCTTCCAGGAAGTCCTCCCTGACCACCCAGGTTGCTCCATCCTGAGCTCTCAGGACAAACTGCCCACCCAACCGTGTACCCACGTGGTTGCGGCCAGGGTTGCCTGTGGCTTCTCAAGGAGTTTGGGGCTCCTCAGAGAAGAGACAGACTGGAAACACTATATGGGGCCCCCAGGTGGCAGCTGATGCTGGCTGGGCAGTGGCCTCTCCTTGCAGGAGTCTGGGGATACATTCCTGCCAAGAATCATCCTGTCCTGGGGTTTGCAACATTCTTTCCCCCCGTGGGTATCAGGAGCCCCCACTGTACGACATCAGCTCTGGTGCAGGTTCTGAGGATGTGAAGACAGCATGGGTGCCTGCCTCAGGTCTCACACTCATTTTAGGGAAGGAAAAAATGCACATAAATCAGCTTAAGAGTATTGTCGGATGTGTTCTGAGGGCACCAAAGGACAGAGAAAATGATGGGGCCTGCGGTGGGTGAAAAAAGTCCTCTCTGAGGAGGGGCTGGGGGATCCGAACTGCAGTACAAAGGCCCTGGGCTGGGAGGCAGACTGGCCAGCTCGGGGCAGCATCTGACCCACTGTGTCTCCCAGTTCACACAACCCTGGGGCCTTGATGAGCTAGCTTGCTACAGCTGTAGCTCCCACACGGTGCTTGGCCTCCTGAGCAGATGCGGTTCCGGCCATTTGGGCCAGCACTTCACTCTCACCTGCTCCAGACAAGCCCACCCGACTAGGGTGAAACTGAGGCCCAGAGGTAGGGGACTTGAGCAAGGGGACCCAGGCTTCTGTCACACCAGGATCCTCCCACCCCAATCAGATTGGGATCCAGAGTCAAACCCGCTCTGGCTGCTCCACGTGGCAGTTTCCACAGTAGCGGAAAGATGCTCAGCCCTTAGGAGCTGAGAGTGGCTTCAATCTGAGTCAACAGCAATACCAGAAAGCACTCTCCAGTCCCTAAAAGGAAGAGCCAGAGGCCTGTCCCTCTCAGGTAGAGGGCAGGGGTGACATGTGGTCACCCACTGGCCTCATGATTCCTAGAGAATTTCCACACAATGCCCCCCGACCTCCTGCAGCAGTTCTATGGCAGGCCCCGGGGCCCTGCCGCACACATAGTGGACACACAGACCACGGGAGGGGAGCGGTGCCCAGTTCCAGGTAGACCTGGGGAGTCAAGTGGCTGGAAGGAGAAGCAGGCCAAGGTTCTCCATGGACATGGAGCCAGAGATGTGGTGGCAGGTGCGAGTCCCAACTCGGGGTGGGCTGGATCCTGTGGACCAAGGACAGCACTGGTATCTTCCCCAAGGGGGCAGGAACTGTCCAAGGTCCTGCCAAGGAACAGGATGTAGGGTCCACCATGGCCCCCAGGCCCTCACCCTAGGACTCCTCCCAAAGCTCCCTTCACAATCCCCCGCCTCTGTCACTTGTCCAGGTTCAGGGTCAGCAGGGACAGGGGAAGGGCCTGCCCACCCAACCCTCCAGGGCTCCTGTAGTAGAGACGCAGCCCTGCCCACCCGCGTCCCTGAGTTCCCTCCTACTGGGCAGCCCTTGAGGCAAAGAACTATGTCCAGAGGAGCAGTAAGGCCTGCAGGCAGGCCCACCCGCCCTCCACCGCTCCTCCGGCTCCCTCGTGTGGGGCTGTACCCAGAGCTGCCCGCAGGCCAGCCACCCACCCACCGCCTGGACCGTGCAGGGAGCTTGCTTTCTCAGAGCTCTCAGCAAAGGGGATCCCAACAGCCTCGGCATTGTTTAAAAACAATAACAAAGTTCTCTGTGAAGGTTTGAAATTTTCTAAAACAAAGTTTGAAGAAATATAATAGTTCTTTCTTCATTGTGCTCCAAAGAGCACGCAGACCCAGGCCATGGTGAAAATTGGGTTCTGTGGCATATATGCAGTGGTTCTCAGCGTGGAAGGGCTGTGGGAACGTGTGGGCATGTTTGGGGTCACAATGCCTGGAAATGCTACTGGCATGTAATGGCTAGGGGCCAGGACAGCTGCCCACAGCGCGGGACAGTCCCATACAATGAAGACCAGTTCTGCTCAAAGGCCAACAGGGCCCCAGTCGAGAAACACAGAACTAAAAATGAGAAACCCTTAGGAGTTTGGGGTTTGAGTTTGAATCAATTTGCTGTACACCATAAACTGGTAACAACACTGTAAATCAACTAGACTTCAATTAAAAAAGAGAAACCCTACCCAGGGTTTGACATGTGCCTACACAACAGCAACATTTAAAGACAAGCTCAGGGGACTTCCCCTTCCAATGCATGGGGTGCAGGTTCAATCCCTGGTCTGAGGCCAAAAAACCAAAGCAAAACAGAAGCAATAAAGACTTTAAAAATGGTCCACATCAAAAAAAAAAAAAA